ATATATTAAAGCGTATTTTTAAATAAAAAAAATTAGATTGTACGCTTTTTATAAATTGAATTGTATGATTATATTAAATCGTTTTATAAATTAAATTGTATGTTTTTTGAAGAAAAAAATAAGAAAAATAATAAAACTACTATTTAAGGGTTGCATTAAATGCTGGCCTATTTTTTTACTACTAATTTTAGTAAATAAGATGACTTTTTATATAAGTATAGATAGATATCTATTTGTGGTGTATCGAAGTAAATTTATATATATGTTCATTAGAGATATAAAAATTACAAAATACGTGATTAATTGAAGTTATAAACATATTTTAAAAGTTAATATATTTGTATTTGCTATATCTTTTATGTATTCATAAAAAAAAAAAAAAATATCTATTAATCAATAAAAGTAATAAAATTGTTTATTAATTAAATAAATTTATATGCAAATTTATTATATGACAAGAGTTGGAAAAAAAATACTATAATGCATGATGAGTAAATAACTGAATCGTACAAACAATGGAAGTGAATTTTAAATATAAGTAATAATGTATTTGAAAAACAAAACAAACACTGCTCTTTAAATATAAATTTCATAACTATCATATTATAGTTATACGGGTGACCAGATTAGCTAATTCCAAGTCAGATTCGTTTTGTCATTGTTCTATTATTACATCAACTTTCTACGGTCATCATTCGTTTAAGTTATTGTATGCAATAGAAACTTTTATCCATGTATTTTGTTATAATGTGATAGTTTGTTTGAAACATGTGGTGAATGTTGTATGAGTAAGAAAACTTAGTTTTCTACCTATAAATGAAGAACTTCATATAGAAACCGAAGAAAACCAAACGGTTCTTCAAGTGCAAGGTCGAGTGCTACACTGACTTTCATTCAAACACTCAGATGGCAGCCGACCTCGTTCGACAAAGGACCGCCAAAAATTCAGCACCTGTTATTTTAAGAGGTGATAACGAAATGTGTTATTTTATTGCACTGCTCTTTTTCTTTCTCATGAAAGATCTTTCATCATTCCCATGGTAGACAACACTACACAAAGGCGTATGTAGCAGGATGTTTGGCGTATAATGATTTCTTGTGTAGAAGTCTCATACTTGACGGACTTGACAACATACTTTATAATGTGTATATTCCGCTTACGAGATATCCAAAGAATTATGGAATTCTTAACAAAGTACAACCCGACAAGCGTTAGAATTAAAAAGTTTTTTTATTGGTAAATCCCTTGTGTACGGATATTTTTGGCCGAGAAATTGATAGTGAACGAAGCAATTCAGGTGGCGATAATTGTCGAAAAATTGTCTCTTTTGAAGGACATCAAGAGTTATCTTATGCATAAACACAAAGATATGAAACTTGAGGATTTGATCGTTCAATACTACTAATTTCCCGTAAAAGATAGTGCAAAATGTCATGAACAAGATTAGACTTATCAGAGCTCGATCTTTCCTTCGTGGTTCGAGTATTTAGTCGATTAAAAATCCATGTTAGAAGATACCACTATTAATAAGTTGTATGTGACAAATAATACGTCCAATTAGGAAATTATACCAATTTATATATCGTTCCATTGACTGGTTTTGAGTAATAATAAACCCGAGTTGATATTTATGTGGAAATCAAACATCGGTTTACTTAATTTCCCTCATGGCATTTGATAAATTTAGGGGATTATAACATGGTTAACTTTTTCCTTGATTGTGAGCATGAATACAAGGACATTGTACTATGCTCCAACTCTAAGCATGATTGTCAAAGGTGTGAGAAAATCCAAAGAGGCTTGGGCTCATAAAATACTTCAAAAGATTGTGAAGAAAAAGAACATCTGTCTATGAAACACAATTTACTTCTCATACTAGTGTGTATATTGCAACAAACAGAAAACCATCAATCAACTCATCAGAATACTGTTCTGCAACTCCTGTTCAACCAAAGAGGATTATGGATGTAACATAAAAGACAAGATTACGGAAATAATGCTCCTAAGCCGGCAAACAAAATCATTAATTAACTTAACTCATCGACCAGAAATCAATTCAAGAGGTGCACGCCAGGATTTTATTACCTCGATAAATGTCCAAAAGTTCAGGAACATCCTTCTCGTATTTCTCAATATAGGTCTTCAAGAAAATCTTCTCGGACATTGTCAGCAGGGACGTGATAGCCACATTCTTCAGCCCCTTTTCATTCAAAACCTCAGCAACTGCCCACCTCGGCTTCATTCTCCTTTCGAGGCTGTACCCAAGAATCCAAGAGCATCGGGCAACATCACCTGGTGCCCACCCTAATTTATCAACCAGAAAACCCATACTCGCCAAAATCTTCTTCTCGGACAAGGCCATGCAGAGCGGCTGACTCAGAAAGGCGGTCCTGATGTCATATTCTGACCAGCCGCACTTTCTATAAACCTCCATCTTGCGCTTAAGGGTCGACTCATCAAAACTCACCAAAACCCGGATGGCATTTGAAAACGCATTATTGGACACGTCAAACCCCATTTCTATTGCACGATCCATGCACGAGGATAACTTCTCCTGATG